TTTCCACCCATTACCTCCAGTCCCAGGGCTTTGAACCACTCCATTCCAATTAGGCTGGGAAGATCCTTATCTACTATGGTGATGGGTAGGGGTCCCTCAACCCCTTGAATTTTATGTTAAAGGAACCCTTTCCAGAGATGGGAATGTGGTTCCCTTGATAGTCCTTAAGAGTGCCATTTGGAGGCTCCAATTGATGCTTCATGAGGGTCGGGCTTGCTCTTCTGATGGTTTTCCAGGACATCATGGTTTTAATTGATCCTGTGTCCACTTCCATCTTGCAAGGGCTTCCCTCTACTGGACAGTGATGTGGATTTTCTCTGCCTCATGGCTAGTTGACTGGGCAACCATAGTGTAGGCATCAGAATGTCCCACTATTGTGTGAATATCTCTGTCTGCACTTCAATCTTGCTGCCTTTTGTTAATTGTCGGTGGTGCTTTCCGGGATGTTGCCTTGGTTCCCTGGTACCTTGTAGGTGATCTGGTCCTTCTCTGGCCATGACCACCAGCTGGCCCACTCTACAAGCTCTTGCTATGTGGCTCTGCCATTCACACCGCTAGCAAATGGCATCTTTAAAATGGCATGCCACTCACGGATGATTTCCCATGTCAACTCATAAAATATTTCTGCGGTCTTTTTAGAGTTGCCAACAGAAAGGGAGGAGAAAGCCGTGGGCAGCTTGCATTCCATAAATGTATTTCAAAGATAGTTTCTACGTGACCAAAGTTTCTGCCACACAAAATTCTAACTGGAGAGCATGACTGATGACTCTTGGCTATGGAGGTGTCCAATTGGAGAATATGAATTACAATACACCCAGGGGGTAGGGGGAAAAACAGGGTCAAGAGTGACAACGAATGATGTGTCTCAGAATCGGCTACACTCAGGCAATGCTGCATATTTTAATTCCCAATAAATCCTTTTGGAGTTTGGCTAGAGACTCATGATTTAAATGGGGTTAAATGTCAGAATCCTGACAGCTAGCTGACTCAACTAATTCACAACCATTCCTGGGAGAATTGATGCCCGGTCTCCCCCACACCCAGTGCATGATAGGCTTTGATATCTTTTGTCAGCCTCTGGGAACCCAGAGTACCCAGTTGGATGAAACCTTTTGTCTCTTGCTGGCCTCTTCATCCTGTGCATTGACTTTATTCAGTGGACGTTATCCTTGTCTCCTTCACTCTCCTCCATCTCAGAGCCCCACTGTGGTTTGTGGCACTGGCTCTGGCATCATGGATGGTCTGGGAGCCCCTGATTCTGGCTGGGGACTTGTCAGAGACTTACGCGGCTTGGGCTTCCTGATGGTGGTCTTAAACGGTAGATCTTGTCTGGCTAGCAATCACTTTTGCAGAGTCAAGTCTCTAAGTCTGAGCACGAGCTGGTCTCAGATCATGAATTCCGTGCCTGGGAATTTACAATCCTTGGGTAGCTTCCTCAGTGCTGTCACGTACTCATTTATGGACTGAATCACTTGTTGGCACCACAGGTAGAATTCATATCTGCAAGCCAGAGATGATGGGACTGGCTTATAATGCTCTTTTAGTATTTTCTGTAAGTCTGTCCAGGTAATGTTCTCCAAGGTTTCAGGTGCCACTAAGCTTTGGTGGTCTCATACATGTCTGAGTCACAGTAACTCAGGAATAGTGCCTTTTCTGGGGGTCAGCCTGCTCATGGAAGCTGTTTGCTTCAAGGAAATGTTTACATTTCCCCATATACGTCGACCATTTTTCCGTTCCCAGTCTGAAAAGAGTGGGGGAAGGGGGGGCACATGAGCGGCCATTTTGAAGTCAGTCGATGCTCTTTTGCTGAGCTGGTGCTGAAAGAAAGATGGCCGCAATGCCATGAGGTTGCCTTGTGTCCTTTGGTCTCTGCTAGGATTTGACCTTTGTCACCAGTGTTAGATAGGCAGGTCAAGGGAAGAGGCAGGACTCTGATTGTTGAGAATGTCTGTTTTATTGAAGATCCTGAGTAAAGAGGCTGAGCCGCAGCTGGCTCCAGCTTTTTAAAGCAGGAGCTGTCCACGAGTTCAGGCTTCAATATTCGCACCAGAATTTCCAGCAAATGAGCGGAGTCTGACGTCAGACTCCACTCCTCATGAATATTTAACACCTCCAACCCTATGATTCCATGTTCTATATGTTTAGAAGACCCAGTGTCTTATACTCATATGTATGCTGATTCCACCACCTCTTCTCTCTCCTTCCTTCTCTTTCTTCCTACATTTGAAATATTGAGAAAACTTTCATCATAACTTGAAGCTCCTCCAGAGTCACAGGTCATTTCAGGGAAAGTGCTAGTCTCCCAATTAATCAGCCCCTGCAGTGTGCTCAGTGTTCTAGGAATGCTCTTAATGTGCATAATGACCTTTGAAAACAATTTGCTCAGAGGCTCAGTGTGTAGGGGGAGGGGGCATCTGGCCAATCTCTCTTCTATCATTGTGGTTCCTTTTTGGTCTTCTGCCTGCCAACCAACACAAAACCCAACGATGCCTTTATCTGTATATGCCTTAGTGGAAGAGTCATAGTCCATCTTCCTTTTCTTTAGCTCTCAGAGCAGACAAATACAGAGGTTATCCTTGTCATGCCCACATTTTTGAGGTGTCACATGTCTCCTACTGGCCAAAATAAGTAACATTGTCTTTCTATGATCAGCTTCTCTTTCATATGCTGCAGCAGACTCCTCCTTTGGGGGGATGCCTCTCATCCCAACTGTAGTCAAATACGCTGCCTAGTCCCAGGGCTGAGAAGTTAAGAAAAAGTCCTAGAAGAAGACAGTGGCAAGCCATTTCTATATTATTGACATGCCCGGGCAGTACCAGGAACTGGGCTTGACTCTTGGAAGTCTTTATTGTAGACCGATTTGGTGGCAGCACCTTGCCTTCCTTCTCCCAGTTATGACTATTGAGCCAGGTACTTCCTATTCTGTACTCATCCATTTGGTTTTTCTTGCCTACAAAAAAAATACAGAATCTTACTTTTCTCACTGTTGAATTTTGTTAGATTGGGCCAGTCTGTTGAGATCCTTCTGTATCCTGAGTCTATCTTTTGGAGTGTTGGCTTTCAGCTGTAATTGTTGATGGTTCTCAAATATTCCTTGGCTTGGTAGCTTGGCATTTAGGGACATAAAAAATTCAAGTTGTCAGGCCACACTTGTCACCGCTTCAGTTTGCAAATGCTTCAGTGTATCCTAAAGGTTTTTGTACATTGTAGATCCACAGGTTTGGAAGCAGAGGTGGTATTCAGCAGGTTCTCACCAGTTCTGGAGAACCGGTAGTGGAAATTTTGAGTAGTTCAGAAAACCGGCAAATCCCACCTCTGACTGGAGATTTTACAGTATCATTCCCCTGCCATGCCCACCAAGCCATGCCCACAGAACCGGTAGTAAAAAAAAAAAAAAAAAATGAATGCCACCACTGTTTGGAAGGTGTCAATTTCCCCCAAATGGGAAAATTCTCCAGTGGGAGGGCACCTTGTGGGGTTAGCAGAATCCTAATCTTAAGAGGAAGCATTTCCCTGTGGTTATCCTCCATGCTGCCATCTTCCTACCCCCCACCCCAAACCTTAAATGCCTTTTTCTGATCTCCTGCAGTTTTGCCCTCCTGGCCTGAGTCAGACAGGGCCAGCAGAGCTGAGCTAGTATTAACAGAGCAGGCCCTCCGAAGGAGAGAGCAGGCAAAGATGAACTCGGAGGCAATCCGTTCTGCTTCCTTGCACATCGTCGCTCATTTGTGCATCTGTCTTTGCTCAGCAGCAGATGTACTTATTCCAAGCACATCCGTGGTTTCTGCTAGTCTTGAGATCGTCTCAATTGCTTCCCTGAGCTGGGGAGAATGGAAAGGAGGACCTAATAGCTCCGCTTATAGCTTCAGATAGTGACTTTTGCTTTTATTTTATTTTGCTTTGCCAGCCTCTCTTAATTGAGTTGGCCATTCGCCACCTGGCCTCCCTCCTTCCTCACTGAATGTATCGCATTCTTTTCTGGCGTTCGTTCTTCCTGTCAGATCTGCAATACAATATCTGTACGTTTCGTGGCAGCTCCATATTTCGCAGCTGAAAACCTGGCTGTGTTTTTTTGTCTAGAACTTAAATCATAAAGGGATGCTTTATCTTCCCAATATTTATTCTGCCCTCCTCCATCTCACACAGTTTCCCATTCTCTCCCCTCCAAAGGGCAGGAGTTATGAGCTAGAGTGCATCTGTGCAACAACACACAGGCAAAATTGATAATACTGGAGCTGTGGGAGGAAACGGTGTCGGAAGGGGTGAAGCCCCAAGGAAAAAATGACGAGCATCATTGACAAAGATCTCCTGTCTCCTGCTTCTCTGTAAACTGAAGCTTTTCCAGGTTTTTTTTTTTAATGCAGACCAATGTTTTTCAAACTTGGCAATTTTAATATGGGTGGACTTCACATCCCAGCATGCTGGCCAGGGAATTCTGAGAGAAGATGTCCACCCATTTGGAAGTTGCCATGTCTGCAAAATACTGATCTAGACTCTTTTCCTTTTCGCTGGACTTTTTAACTAGACTTTATTTCACTCTGATGAAATAAAATCTGCTATGGACAATTTGATTTTGAGAAGGGGATTCTAGATAAATTCTCATGGATCAAATTGATCCAAGACTGGACTTAACGACCATAATGGAGCCCAACATTTCTGTTGCTAAGTGAGACATTTTCTTAGGTGAGTTTTGCCCTATTTTATTATCTTTCTTGCCACAATGTTTAAGTGAATCACTGCAATTGTTAAATTAGTATCATGGTTGTTAAGTGAATCTGGCTTCTGCTTGTCAGAAGATCGCAAAAGGGGATTGTGTGACTCCAGGACATTGCAACTGTCATAAATGTGAGTCAGTTGTCAAGCATCTGAATTTTGACCCCATCACAATGGGTATGGCACAACAGTCATTAAGTGTGAAAAATGGTTATCAGTCACTTTTTTCAGTGCCATTGTAATTTTGAACAGTCACTAAATGAACTGTTGTACATTGAGGACTACCTATACTTACCTGGCAGGGAAGATACCATGATCGTGAAGGTGGTTTTCCCAGATGAGGCTCATCCATCACACTTCAGGGGTTTTCCCCAAATGCTCTAGGCATGGTTCTTAGTGCAGTTTTTAATAATATCTTAATGTTGGTTCATTTTAATATCTTAACTATTTTTCACTTGTTTCTATAATTTGTAAACTGCCCAGTGTCACTTTGTAGGGCAGATAGTGGCATAGAAATTTAATACATACATACGTATATACATACATACATGCAATGGAATCTTCTTGCACTGCTTTAGCATCAAGGTAGCCAAGCAGCATGTGTGAATGTCCTGTCTATTACTACACCATGACCCAGGGATCCCCAAAGAAATTGTCTTGGAAAAAAGAAAAGAAAAGAACAAAGTCCATCTTCCAAGATCATTTCTTTTATTTAGGAAAGCATCAAATTGGCAAAGTCCGTGGTAATTCTGAATCTGACACAACCTGGAATTACCCCACAATATTAGAAGTTAGAAATAACCCCCAAAAGTCACATTCTCCAATAGAAGTAATTCAACATGGCTTTATGTCATAAATCTGCACCTCAATGGGGCAGAACATGGTCAGCTCATTTTCCCACAGGAAGAAGAATCACCTAGCCTAAACAACTCTCTCTATCTCCACTCCTCCCCCCTTAGGAATGTGGCAAGCCCGAAACCCTTCCCCCATGACCGCCAAAGAGAAATTAAGAAAAAGAATATATACTATATACTAAACCTAACCAAAATGGCTACACATATGCCAATTTTGGGCTTGACAGGCTGCCCTCCCACATTTGAAAAGAAACCCCTGCAATGACATAAAATACACAAAGATTAAAATTAGGTTAAACACAATCATACAATGCACATTTTAATCTCCTTTGCCACCCACAGAATTCACCTTAGGCTTGTGTAGGTATTTTTCACCCTGGTCCTTGGACCAGCATTGATCTGCAGAGTGCCAGAAACCAGGCCACACAAACAAGCAAAGCACCATCTGTGGGATGCAGGCAGCATGTGAAAACCCATCCGTTCTGGTCCACAGAAAAAACCTCTCTCCACGGAACTAGTCCCTGGTGCCCAAAAGGTTGGGGCCCACTGCCATGGTCTCTTAATTGGCCAGGGCCCTCCCATTCATTCCCTAAATGGGACAATGGGAGGGGGACTTCCTCTAAGATTCCCCAACTCATCACTCACCCTCAGTGGCACTGCGGCTGTCCTTGCTAAGGGGGAATCCTACGTTGGAGAAATTCTCCATCGTCTGAAAACAATGTGGAAAAATTCAATCATCCCTTTTTCTCTGCCCACAAAATTTTAAAAGCCAGTCGTGACTTGCTTCAATCTAAATGAATTATCCCCATTTAGATAAGAGGCAGGAGGAGGCAGACTTAAAACAGGGGCTGTGGGATAGAGAAAACAGGTGTTATCTGGAGAGTTTGTAAAATTGCTGCAAAGGACCATCTGCCGTTGCAAATTAAAAAGTCCATCTGGACCCTCTCTGCAGCAGAAAGGGCCTTTTGAAGTTCTCCCCCAAATTTCTGGCCAGAGAAATGGAGTAGATAGTTGCTCTGAACTTCTCCAGTGGAAAGAGATGTTCTTAACCTACTTTTCAAGGACACGACTCCCCGTGGAGCGTGGCACAAATACTACAAGAGGGATTTCCTCACAATATTATCCCTGGGGGTTTAATGGAAAAATGGACAGCCAAGGCAGCTGTGGAACATTTTGAGGATTGCCTAGTGACAAAAGAGAACATTCAGATCCTCGCCTGGAATGCTTTAAATTAAATAGCTAGGTTTCAACAATATACTTAGCTTGGTCCTTGAATTAGCTCATTTCCTGTGCTCATATGCACACTGAACGTAGATTAGACTGAATGGGCTTTGATTCAAGCAGAACACTTGAAACTAGTCAAAGTTTAAGCTAACTAAGAGTAAAGTCGCTGCTTCAGCCCTGACGGTTGAAAGAATAATGCAGAATTTAAAAAGGGGTTCAAACAGCTGCCTCAGATTTCAGAGAAAGGGAGAGACATATCAATAGCACCCTGTCAATTTGTACTGCATAGGAGAGCTGGCCCTTTGGGGTGGACCAGATCAAAAAACATAACAACAGAATCTTGCAAGATTGTGGTTTATTTCCCCTCCTTGTTATCTCCCAGTGAACTAGGTTTGTGTTTGCATGAGCCGATTCTGAATACAGGTAGTCCTTGACTTACAATCACAACTGAGCCCAAAGTTTCTGTTGCTAGGTTGTTAAGTGAATTTTGCCCCATTTTATGGCCTTTCTTGCCACAGTTGTTAAGTGAACCATTGCACTTGTTAAGTTAGTAAATCGGTTGTTAAGTGAATCTGGCTTCCCCACTGACTTTCCTTGTCAAAAGGGGATCATGTGACACCAGGAAACTGCAAGGGTCCTAAATAGGAGCCAGTGGCCAAGGCTCTGAATTTTGATCACGTGACATGACCACGGGAATGCTACAATGGTTATAAGTGTAAAAAAGGGTCATAACTTTGGAAAATTATGCAGGACCCCCCCAAAACTTTTGTTTGTATGGGTTACGTTGAATGATTATTATTGTGGTTTGTCACACACTCTGCCAGATGCTCAGGCTGGATTTGGCATTTTTGTCTACCTATTGAGTCCTTCCCAAGGACCTGGGATAGGCAGGTGTGGATGTTTTATGGTGTTAGTGGTATCATCTCAGGATGCCTTTTGCAATTAACTGATGGTCTTTTTGTCAATGCCATTGATCTTCAAATGGTACTCCAGTTGTTTTGGGATCGCACTCAAGACATCTATTACTATTACCTTTGTTTTCTTTTGTCGTTCTAGTTGGAAGGTCCCTTCCCCCTCTGTTATTCTGTATTCTTATTCCTCGAGGCTATTCTTACAATCTATTATTCTTACCTTCTAAACTTATCTGACCACTACCGCGTATCCTGGTGAGAAATTCCACCAGTTAATTAGGCAGGACTTTCTATGTGTCTGAAACCTGGTCCTTGGGACTTTGGCCTCAAACATGGCTATACAACTATATCCCTGCCCTACCTGCTACTATGACTGATGTCCAAGGAATCTGGTAGTGCCTTTTCTGGCTAATTCAGTTTATTAAAGGTTTTGTGAGCTGCTACCTTTAATATAGTTAGGGTTAGGGTTAGGTTAGTCGGAAAAGTTGCTAGCAAACTCCTAATTGTTGGCTGTCATGGATTAAAACATCCCTCATACAAGGACATCCAAGGCTGAAGTTCTGGTGCTCCATTCAGCCCTCTGAAACTCTTCTTTGTTTGCCGGCAAAATATGAAACAGACATTCCATCCTTCATGACTTACAGACCTTTTATTTTTTAATTGGCTAAAGATTGCTTTAAACAACAGACTCTTCTTACTTGCTGCCCTCTTAATGTTTTCTCCCCTTTACCGCTTTGTGTTGCATCAGCGACTATTTTTAAAATAGCAACAACAATAATAAGATCATCATCCTCAACAAGAGTCCAGGTGTTGCAGTGCCCATGCTTGAAAACGCTGATGGATTGGGATCAAAGCAGCAAAGCAAAACTGCCCCCAGTTTAATCAAGCATGAAAGGGGTCACTTTCCAAGACCTGTCAATGTTTGAGAGATGGATTTGTTTTGCTTTGTTGTTCTTTTGGTTGCATCTTTATTGATTTTTTTTTAAAAAAGGTTGCAGATTCTTTTTCTTTTTTTAAAGAATACATACCTCAAATGCAGCAGATGAGAAAGTGAGTTATCCGTTGCCTGCATAAAATAAATGAATGGAAATAAGTGAACAGAGTCGAACAATTGAGTTGATTTTCTGTTCAGATGATCATGAAGGAAGTGTAGTAAAGGAGTTTTAGCAAGGAAGATATGACAGCAAGGAAGAAGCAAACGTGGCAGTCAGGAGAATCAGTTGAAATTTCTAAGCTCTGCTACAAATTTTCTGTTGTGATCTGATCACGTTACTTAGGACACTATAGAATAATGTTTCTCAACCTTGGCAACTTTAAGACACATGAACTTCAACTCCCAGAATTCCCTAGCCAGCCCATGTTGGCTGCAGAATTCTAAGAGTTGAAGTCCACATTATTCCTTGTACAGATTATTTATTCCTATTTTTCGGTGGTTGGGAGATGCATTGAGGCTCTTTCTTATAATGATACCCCTCCGGCAAGATTTTCTCCATGGATCTGATCTTCTTCTGTTTCCAGGCTTGTTCTCCTCAATGTCACAATCAGAATTTGTGTCAGAAAAAAAAGGACAAGAGAAGTGACACCAACTTTTTCCTCCTTCTGTTCTCATACTTGTGGCGTTCTTTTTTGTGGTGTGGCCAAGGGATGTTATTGATCAGTGGAGGAGAAGGAAGGAGAGGGAAATAGAGAGGGAAAAGGAGTAAAATAACTATACAGAGTTTTATGGTATCAGTATGAAAATAAAGGTTATAACTATGATACACAACAGTATGCAGTTAAAAGGGACTATAAATGCATGATTAAGAGAATACTGGTTATAACCAGGGAGTATAACACTATGTATACTTAAAAAGGATGTACACAGCCAGAACACAGTCACTGCAAGACTGAAAATGTGATGTACTATAAGGAAAAATGTACAATAAAAATATTTATATAAAAAAAGAAAATCATGGGCCTTCCACATTACCCATCTCTGGTGCCAGCCCTGCACAATAGCTTCCTATCTAGACTTATTATATATCTAACAATGTGTTTGCTTAATCATGAGCTGCTGAAAAATCCAAGGAAGCCTTCCTAAAGACAGAGACAAAAGGCGATAATTGCAATGGACTAGATGCCCCCAACCTTAAATTTTGCCTGTTGTTTTAAATCGGTCTCTGAATTTCAGGCATCACATTTGTTGGCCCTTCAGTTGTATGTCAAGCAGCAGTTGCTAGGGAGCAAGAAAAATCTGAAGAGAGCTGTATTCCTCCAGTCTTAGTATGCAAGCCTCCCCAATACATCTGGTAGGCCAGAATGCAGAGAACATTTCATTTGTTGAGAAATTATGCTTCTTTCCCATTCATCTTTGCTTTCAGAGCTACAGTCCTGCATTCTTACATTTCAATACGGCTTTGTATTTTATAATGGAGAAAGGAGCTATGTCTTTTGTGATGAGATATTCCATCACCCTGTTT